GCAGGTGATTCCGCCTAACCATTGTATGGATTGCAAACGATCCTAAACCAATTGCTAATGATCGTGCACTTCGGAACTAGCGATTGACCCCTCGCAATTACATGACAATCGAGGTCATTAATGGCTCGAGAAAGCTTAAACGTGATTTGATATCAAAATCAACCATGGGTCGAATACGCGTAACTCCTAAAGCCGCCCATTAGTTTGAGATATACTAAAGTCACAATTGATCGATTTTGATCATGAATTAGAGTCCGAAATTGAGTTTTGAACTTTCGAGGATTTCAAGATGAAACTATTGGACGCCGTCTCGTCAATTCTCCGATTTATCAGTTTGCTCGAAATACTCGGAAAAAGGAGTTAATGGGCCGAGAATTGGAGCCCATGAAGAAGTGGGCCGAGTGGAGGCCCAATTGGACCCAAGCAAGCCAAGTGAGCCCAATGAGGCCCACTAAGCCCGCTTTACCATTTTCAAGCCCAATAATAGCTAATTGAAGCCCAATTAGAGCCCGTGAACTTTCCAAGCCTATTCTTTATCCTATTTAGCCCAAACTCGATTTATACGAGCCCGTACAAAATTCTAGCCCATATACGCATATAGTATTTTATACTATACTTTGTGAAATGACTATTCTACCCTTCTTGCATTATTGAACAAAGAGACAAAGATAGGATGGGCATTTATGATGAAGACTTAGGGGACAATTACATGATGAATGAAGACTTTGGGGACTGGATAATATCTCCCAAACACACACACACACACACACACACACACACACACACACACACACTCTCTCTCTCTCTCTCTCTCTCTCTCTCTCTCTCTCTCTCTCTCTCTCTCTCTCTCTCTCTCTCTCTCTCATTTCATTCGGCCAAGCCAACAGAACAACCCCCTTGGTTACTATTTTGCTGCCGTGGAACCACCTGCCGAGCGTCGTGATCGTTCCCCCGCTGTGTGCCGTCCGTCCGAGCCGTTTCCTCGCCTGTTCGCCTCCACCGCAAGCCAAAAACAGCCCATAGAAGTTGTGGTGCTGCTGTCCATGCTATTGTCGTCACCTCGTGTCGTTTCCGGACCGAGCCACGCGTAGCCCTTGCTGCCGCCGTCGAGCCCGTGTTGTCGGAATCGTTAACGGGTGAGTTATCACCCTAATCCCTTGATTAGTACGTTAAACTTGATTAGAATGAGTTTATATTAAGTTAATTATGCTTAGTGCTAATTAATTAGGGATTAGTTGATAAACTATCGCGATAAGTGATAAGCGGTAGTGATAAGTTATCGCGATAGGTGATAAGTGGACTCGATAAGCTATCGAAGTTTTAGTGATAAGCTATCGCCAATTATGCGATAGGCTATCAAGGAAATGTCGATAAGATATTGGAAAAAGGGTGATAAGCTATTGTCGGAGGGACGATAAGCTCTCAGTTTTGAGTGATAAGCTATCACTAATTGATTGATAAGTTATCACAATTAGGGCGATAAGTGCATTTTATATGGTTGCTTTATACTTGATTTAAATGTTGAATTATGTTCGTTTCATACTGTTTATTGTTTGTCTTGCCCTGAATAATAATTGCTCTATGTGAAACCTTATTATTTAATTTTTGAAAGGGTTTTTGGGGACATATAAATAGTAAGCCCTAAAGTGTCAGGTTTATATGTAAAGTTTTATAAGTTAAATAGGGCAATGATGTTTGAAAAGGGAAGCATGCAAAGTTTGACGGTTTAATTATATGTATGTGATCACGTGTGAATTAATTACTGCATTTTTTGGACATGAAAGTTGCAATAATTTGAAATACTCGGTTAAGCCGAAAGACCCCCGTGTAGATTACGGGCGTGCCCTGAGTGGCCATAACAAATATCCGGTTAAGCCGAAAGACCCCCGTGTGGATTACGGGCATGCCCTGAGTGGCCGTAATAAATACTCGGTTAAGCTGGAAGATCCCCGTACAAGGACGAGCGTGCCCTGAGTGGCCGTAATAAAATATCCGGTTAAGCCGGAACAACCCCGTACAAGGATGGGCGTGCCCTGAGTGGCTGTAATGATCGAGACATGTGAGTTTGTGAAAGTTGCTATGTGTTTGGATTATCCATTTATTGATTGTATTGTTGTGGCACGTACTGAGTTATATCGTGTAGGGCGTGTGTACTAAGGCAAGGTAAGAATGCCTGCGGTGATTCTATGGCTTGTTCGTTTATGCATGATTGTATTGTCTGCTTGTGTATATGGTCAGAGTAAAGCCGGGGTTGCTTTGCTATTGATTTGTCATCGTTGTATCGCTGCATGTTTTAGGTTCATCCAATATGAGTTGACTTCCTAATCAAGGCTTAGGTCGTTAACTTGCTGAGTTTATCTCATTGTTGTTTGTTAATTATTTTTAGACCCCCAACTATGAACTGACTGCCCACTTATTTTGGAGTGCCTATGGACATGGGCACAATTATATCTGAGTATCCGGTGAGGCCGGATAGGGCATACCAGAAGCACGTGACCACCGTCTGGGTGGACAAAGGATTGGCGATGTGGAAGCCACATGAGTTCATAGCGTGGTTTCTTAGGGACGGAGATGGGTTGTTTGGACCTATTAGGGGTTTTGATGGACCACCAGATGGTGGGTTTGGGGAAGAAGTGTGGGACCCCATGGATATCGACCTGCCGGACGAAGAAGTGATGGATCTGGAGTTCGATCCGGACGAAGAGGAATCTGATCCGGAGACGCCTCCTAGGTATCACCAGGTTTGATAATGGGTTTGGAAATCCCATCTTTTTGACCGTCCCCTTTAATAGTGAAGCTAGGTTAACCCAACCACTGAATCCCTTTTTGTTTATGTGTGGTCTTTTAGGAAGTGGTCACGTGATAGACTTGTATGTATGTATCTTCTTGGGGTTAACAATGTGTTTATAAAATGGCTTTATTGGTTTTCTTCTCAAAGTGCTTTCCTTACTATCCCATTTATTCGTTTGTTGATTGGAAGATTTAAGTTCGCTTCCGTATGAGTTCATTTGATCGATGTTATCTATATGGGTTGGCGATGCATCCTGAGACGTTGCTATTACACGGCCATTTGTAGGATGTTAGCACGCTCGAGGTTTGGGGCGTGACACCCCTCCTACTGCCTATTAGCATGTGCCTTTTGTACGGGACCACGTTCAATTCTCAGATCCTGTTGCCAGATGCCAGAATCGAAACTAAATTAATTAATCGCCTTCCAAAAAGATATGTGTTAGCAAAATAACACATATCTTAAAATTTACATAAGTGGTTTTCATATTTTACTACCTAGCCTACTCTTGAGATTCGTTCCTCTGTTTCATCTATTTCTGCTACTCTTCTGTTTCACAAAAATCCACCATCATCCTCCCCTTGTTCTTGATGTTTTCTTCACATTGAGAGCAATCGCGAAGCCAAAGATCACCCCTCCTTTTGAGGCAATTGCCAATCTTCTTTCATTAATTCTTGTCGCAATTTGCTTATTTTTACAAAGCCACGGTTCAAATGCCGTTTGTTTGGGAATTGTTGGTGAATGCAACGCAGAGGATCGGCCACAAATTGGATTCCATCGAGGTGTCGCTTTTGTCACTATCTAATTAGAATTTTGGCTAAAAGGAGTGCTTAATTAACATTACAAAAGTGCCTGCGCAATGCATGCATGCAATAAATGGACCTTGAAAAGATTTTACAAAATTTTCCTATTATGAAATATTAGAGTAAAAATTGATGAAAAGAAATTATGGACATAATATGAAAAAAATCGAACGCATATGTGGAAAGAGAAAATTATCTTAAGATTTGTACTATTTTTAGTAAGTAGTTTGTAAGGTGGAAAATATTCAAATTTTAAAACTGAAATATGTGAAAGAATTTTTTTTTATTAATTTAGGCATTTGCCAATTGATATAATATTTATGAAATAACTAATTAAGAATATTTTAAGTAAGAAAAAAAGTAATTATAATCAAGTAGGACCTTTTGCTTTCGCCACTTGTCCTAGTATAGATGTTCTCGAGGGACTACCTTGGCCAAGAGGTTCAGAGACTCCCACCTCAACGAGAAGATCTTTGATACTTCCAATAATATCACGATGACGAATGTTTTATTGACAATTCTGACTTGATTAGAAAGGAATGCGTGTGGCAATGTTTTTTTTTTTTGAACTCTTTGTGGCTGAAAAGTAAAAAACTCACCTGGGCCCGTTTATTTTGGCTTAAAAAAAGAAAAAATCAACCTTTTCATGTTGTTGCCAAAGCTGAAAAAATCAACCTTTTTTTTTTTGAACTCTTTGTGGCTGAAAAGTAAAAAACTCACCTGAGCCCGTGTTATTTTGGCTTAAAAATAGAAAAAATCAACCTTTTCATGTTCTTGCCAAAGCTGAAATATTGCTTCAATTATTAGAAAATGGTGAGAAGTTGAATTTAAAAAAAAGGTGTCAATATTTGATTAATGTAAAAGATTCAATTCCTAAGATTGATAAAAAATAAAACTAAGCGTGCACTGCAAAGTTTGAAGAGAAAAATCTAAATTTTTAAAAGTCAATTTGAACAGGCCAATTAGTTGACTGAAAATACACCGGCCACATCCAATCACGTTACTTAAAACGTGATTCTTTTGCGGTAAAGAAAAACCTACTCTTTTTATATCTTCTAGCTCTTGTAAAATTTTTTATTTTTTTTGGGCCAAATGACATGACAATGAACAGCGTGAACCTTGAATCTGGTCGGAAGGGAAAGAAAAACAAACCGTTTACCTATCGGTGTGGAAAAAAAAGGCATGTGCCTTGAATCTGGCCGGTGTCCTTGTAGTTCTAACGCCGTTAAAACGTGGAATATTTTGTTAAATTTCTCTCGAAATTTCAGTCTTGCCCCTTTCTTTGTTCTTTTTTGTTTGGCGGTTAGTGAGATTTTTTTCTTTTTTAATCTTCAACTCCCTGTTCTTTAATTATTGTACTAGTGTTGGACCACGTGCACGGTACATGATCTTGTCCCTCCCCGTCCCTCCCACTGCCCGCTTTTGTCGACTCCTCTCAGTGTCTGTTCACCCCCATGTTCTCATTCTCGGCGACTCAATCCTCCCTTCATTGACTTTGCCCTTCTTCTCTTCACCTTGAGAAGTAATAGTCGATCTTCCTTCACTGAACCCTCCCAATTTGCTCTGTTTAGAGAAGCGTGGTTCTCTTCTCTGGGTGAGTACAGCTGAGAGGATCGGCCCAGAGATGGAATTCGACGGAAGTCAGGCTCTAATCATCATCCTTGCTTTGACTGTAGGAGGACTGTAAGTGCTCTAATTTGACTCCTGTTCGAGCTATTGTTTACAGATAATGCACAGAAAAGAGAAAAAAGAAACTTTGCTCCTGTACATGTTTGTTGCAATTCAGCCTGCTTGTTCGATTAACATTCCTATTTTTAAGTCTCGATCAGATTAGAAGTTTGTAATTCTTGGCAGGGTTTGGAGACAATTCACGAAATGGAAGAGAAGGAGGGACCCGGAACCAACCTTGAGAACCGACGATGGGTCTGGGGAAGAGAACGAGGCGTTAAGGAGGGACTCGGAGTCATCCTCGAGAGCCAATGATGCGTCTCGCGAAGAGTACGATGTGTTCCTGAGTTTCCGGGGACCGGATACTCGCAATGGATTCGCCAATTGCCTCTACCATCGCTTGAGAGATGCTGGAATCTGCGTTTTCTTGGATAACGAAGAACTCCGATTCGGGAAAGAAATTAATGGAGAGCTTTTGAAAGCACTCGACAAGTCTCGAATCTACATACCTATATTCTCTAAGGGTTATGCTGATAGTTCGTGGTGTCTCCGTGAGGTTGTGCACATGGCAGAACGCACCTCAACGTCCGATGGGAAGAAAGAGATACTTCCCATCTTCTACGACGTGCATCCGGACGATGTTAAGCTCAAAACCAAGTTGTATAGAAAAGCCATGTCTAAAAACAAGAAGTTTGGCTCCGACGAATTGAAGCGGTGGGAAAATGCGCTTGTTGAGGTTGCGCATATAAAGGGATGGGATCTTAAAGGCAAAGGGTAAATTTCCTCAACTTTTTATGGTATATAAGCACAGTATTTACATTTCATTGAATGAAAGTTTGCCACTTGAAAGTCACAAACATAAAGCATTTGGGCATTTTTATTTGAGATTTGCATTAGAAGTTAATGAAAGCTAGACCAAAACAATCGAAAATCCACAATAGAAAATGGCTATTTTTTTAAAACACAACAAATCGGGTCAAACCCTACCCTACCCACTCAAGGCATTTTTCCAATTCATGTCAGGTTAAGCCAATATGACCCGACAGGTAAGACCAACCTTTTACTTAATCATATTTTTCACTTAATCAACTATTTTTCTTAACCGTATTACCACAATAAGTATAGTGGAAATCATGCGATTTTCTATATTTTTCACCACCTGGTGTAATCACAAAATTTTTACAAAAACAAACTCGGGTGAAATTATTGAATTAATAGGAGTATTGCAATTTTAAAATTATACCAAGACATGATTATAACTTTATTCTAAAAAGAGTGCATAATTAACATTACAAAGTGCACATGCCATGCATCTATTCAAAAAAGGGACGTTTAAAAGATCTTACAGAATATCTCTATTATGAAATATTAGGATAAATAATTTAACGAAAAGAAATTATTGACAATATGAAGAAATTGAACACATATATGTGAAAACAAAAAGAGGTTTGGCCCTGATGGATTGAAGCGTGGAAGAAGACTCTTGCAGAGGGGAATTTTCCTGCACTTTTTCCTTGGACGAAACTTTGTGTGTCCAAATTTTCAAACTTATATCAATGTGTATTACATTAGAAGTTAATGGAATTCTGACAAAGATTGTGCTCGAGAACCTACAAAAGGTAAAGAGGTGTGTGTGATAACTTTTCTCAAACCGGAAAAAAAAAACTATGTCAAATCCAACCCGCAACCGAAAATTTCCTGTTCAACTAAATATAATGCTTAATTTCCATTTGTTTGAGTAGTCGAAATAGGTGAGTTATGTATCTACATGTTCCCTAGAGTCCCGTAGTCTATCAAGTCTTTGACTGAAATGAAATTTTCATGCTTTGCTGCAGCCAAGGAAAACAAATTGAATTGATTGTTGAAGAGGTTTCCCGTAAGCTCAATACAAGACACGTGATTGTGACCGAACATTTTGTTGAAGATACTGCTCAGATGGAAGCCATAATGAAATTGTTGGATGTTGGCTCTGGTGGTGTCCGTTTTGTCGGTATCCATGGCATGGGTGGTGTTGGAAAAACAACTCTCGCCAAAGTCATGTTCAACAAACTATCTTTTCACTTTGAACGTTGTAGTTTGCTTGAAGACGTTCGAGCATCATCACAACCTCATGGCGGCCTTTTAGAATTGCAGAAAAAGCTCTTATTAGATTTGGCTGGTCATGGGATTGCTAACCAAATTAAACATGTTGATGGTGGGATCAAGACCATCAAAAAAGCATTGAGTAATAAAAAAGTACTCATTGTTCTTGATGATCTAGACAAGAAAGAGCAACTTGAAAAACTAGCTGGAAAATCTGATTGGTTTTGTTCTGGTAGCAGAATCATTATCACAACTAGAGACGAAAGCATACTGATGACTCAAGTGGGCTCATCCACTAAAGAGGTCCTCAACCAACCCGAAGGAATTTTGCGTTATGAAGTTCATGGAATGAGATATGATTTAGCACTTCATCTGTTTTATAAGCATGCATTCAGGAGTGACTTTGCTATAGAAGAATATGATGCTCTTTCAAGAGAAATTGTTCGTATAGTGGGCATGCTTCCTTTGGCCGTTGTGGTGATAGGGTCCAATCTTTTTGACTGGGGCAAAGATTTGGGGCATTCAGATAAAAGAGAAGTATGGGATGAGACGCTGAAGAAGTTAAAGGAAGGTCCTTTTGAGGATGTCCGAGATACATTAATGATAAGTTATGAACGATTAGAGGATAAGCACCAAGAAATATTTCTAGATATAGCCTGCTTTTTCATCAATGCTGACAGAACATATCCGTTTATCATGTGGAAGGATTGTGGATACTTTCCCAGCATTGCAATGAGGGTTCTCTCTCAAAGGTCCTTGATCAAAATTAGAGATGATAATAGGCTTTGGATGCATGACCAAGTTCGAGACTTTGGAAGATACATTGTTCTTCGAGTTTATCCTCGCAAGTTTTGTAGGGTGTGGATTCGTGAGGATGCCCTGAAACTACTAGACGGAAAAAAGGTAAACGGGACCTGCATATGTTTGAAAATATTTGGTGCAAGAAATTCTTTGAAATTTTCTTTCCCATTTAAAGCAGCAATTTAGTTAAAATATGCATCCAATCGATAGCTTTGTTTAACGTCGCTTTTGTCTTGCGGGGGTTGCATCTGTCTGTCAAACCTTCAAGTCAAAGGTCCCAAAGTTTGAAGAGAGAGCCATAAGAGCTGCCTGACAGTTGGATTTTTTTTCTTGGTTCCAGTCTATAAAAAGTAGCTTTTTTGAAATTTTAAAAAAAATAAAGAACAGTTCACGTGTAATCCAGGTAAAATGAAAAGAAACCTTGCTTTATCAAGAATTTTAAGATTATTTTCAACTCCGATTTTTTTAGAATAAACTAAGAAGAAATTTATTATATTCCCGAAAAGTAGAAACCGAAAATATGATACCTTCAGACTCGAAAATTAGTTTATGTAGAAAAGGAGAAAACAACAATTTGTTGGAAAAAAGAGTGTGCCATAGTTTTGGAAAGCGACGTGATGAGCTCAATCATTGGAGAAATTGTTTCAACATGCTTTTGGGTCCTCCCTGTTGTAGCTCTGTATACCATATGTAGCATGCTCAATATTGAGTCTGTGATATGCAGAGAAATGAAGATGTGGTAGCACTAAGCCTGACTTCCGATGGCTGCAACCATAGCATTGCATCTGAAGAATTAGCTGCTCTACCAAATCTAAGATTCCTTCGAGTGAAAGGCATTGATTTTTTTGGCAACTTCAAGAATCTTCTTTCGGAGCTAAGATGGTTTTCTTGGGAAATTACAAATAAGGAATTTTGTACGGAGAATTTTCATTTTGCTAGTTTGGTCGTGCTAGACCTTTCAAGGAGCGATATTGAAGATGACTGGGGTGGGTGGAGCCAAATCCAGGTACAATATACCTTACTCCATTCAACTTCTTTCCATTTTGCAGATCATTCAATGCAAGGGACACATAGGTGGTGTGCTCTCCGGATCTAAAATATTTTGTGCTAGTCTAACATCTAGAGTCGACTACAGCCTGCTAATCACCTTTGAAAAGAAAGGAAAGGAAGCTATAGAATCACATGGCAGCAGCATATCATCCCAGTAAATATCATTGTTGTACTATATTTCATCTATTCACCAGAGACTACTTTAGTAAACAAGCCGCAGAAAAATATGATATGCTTAAAATTCCGTACTAACAAGAATCATTAGCTGTGCTCACCAGTCCATAGTAGTATCCAAGCATCCATCATCGCCTTGGTTTAAGGAATTCAAATTTACCTACTTTGGAGTTTGGAGTTTGGATGCTTTAAGGCTTGTTGTAGTCGCTTTTCTAATAGCCAATTGTTGAAATATTGTACTACATTGCTTGACAATAGGTTTTATGTTCTCTTTTTATATGCATGCGGTCTCTCTCCATCCATCAACTTAAACTTTTGGATTGAACCTTTTAACATGGCATTAGAGTCAATGTTATCCTTTATATTTATGTTCGTCCACCCTCACGTGCCATGATTAGATTCCACGGGTCTCTCCTAGACCTTTTTTTAAAAAGGGAAGAGCAAATTTTGGTGTTCCTATGGTACTACCTTGTTCAATACATCTCTTTCTTTACTACACTTTTAAGACTTGATCAAGACGAAATATGGTAACATCATAAATATTTTTTGTGACGCTTTACAATTTTCCTTTTTGTAACTCCATTACGACTCTACATCATGAAGATGCACGAGTGAGAGATATATAGAAGTTCCCCATTCCTTTATGGTTGATAGACTCGAAATATAGTTCCATGCGTAACATTTTTAAACCATGGGAAGATTTAAACTTCAAAGGCTATTTGCAAGCAGACTTCTATAAATTCATTACCGAAGCGGAAACTTGTTTGTGCATTGTGAATTTGAATAATAGATGGTAAATTTGAAATACCGTTGATAAGAAAAAACTCATCGGCAACTTTATAGTTCCATAAATTATCAAATAACTAACATTATACCATCATCAAAACTCATACCAGATTACCAATTGTTCTTGAATACTACAAGTGATCTCCTTCATTAATTAATAGATCACGATTTGCCTAGATACTTTACTAATAGTGTCGTTTAATTGTTGTAACTTACAAACAAAATACTATTTACCATGGTAAATGCTTAGTAGATTATTATCATCGCTTCGATTTTACCGAGTATCAAGTTTTATTTTTCAGTAACATGCAAATATAATGATTGATTTATCAAGTTAAACTAACCTTGTAGACTACAAACTATCGTTCGCTTTGACAAGCGAGCGAGTTTTTCAGCTGGTGGACTATGAATTGCTTACATACTTTACTAGTAGTATTGGTTAATGATTGTAACTTATGAACAAAAAAGCTATTTCTTTTACTATATAATCGTAGTGGATTATTAGATTTATTTTGATTTACAAGTACTAATGCTTGTGAGTCAGTAAAAGAATAACGAAATAATAGATATACCGGGCTTGCCCTAGTAGATTATAATCGACCTTTTGTTTTTTACAAATGAGCAGGTTTTTCCATTTGTAGAGTATGAATTAATTGCTTAAATACCTTACAAGTAGCATGGGTTACCAGTGATATTTTGCAAACAAACTAACTGTTTTATCACTATAAATCTGTAGTAGCTTATGAGTTTCACTACTAACTTACTATTTCACCACTAAGATTTAGTTATGAGCAGTAAATTTATAAAAAAAAGACTCAATAATTTTCAATTGCATTGACGATACATGTTTACCATGAATGGAAGATTACTCCGTTTTCCCCTAAGGAAGTGTTAGAAGCGACCTAGTTGCACCATTTTTTACTAATGTAAAAATTTAGGACGATTAATGTGTTTCATTCTTTTTAATTCCACATTTTCTTTTCTACAGATGACAAAAAAATTAAAAGTTTTGGATTTAACGGATTGCACAAAGTTGAGAAGGACACCCGACTTCTCTAATTTCACATCCTTGGAGATGTTAGTACTTGCTCGATGTTGCAATTTAATCACAATTCACCCCTCCATTTCTAAGCTTCAACTCCTAGAGACTTTGAATATCAAAGGGTGTAGTTCTCTTGGGGAGTTGCCAGAAGAAGTCTGTTCTCTACAATCTTTGAAGCAGATCGTCATGCCTAAAAATTTTCAACCCTTGAAGCTTCCGGAGAGATTTGGCAATATGAAATCTTTGTTGAGTTTTACATTAAATGAGAACCCTAAAATCTGCCAACTTCCCGACTCAATTGGAGAGGCGGCGAATCTTACACGCTTAACTTTACACCGGTGCGTGGGTATAAAGGAACTTCCAAGCTCAATTGGGGGGTTAAAAATGTTGTCAGAGTTGGATGTATCAGCATCAGGCATAGTTGAACTACCCGACTCTATCGGAAATTTAAAGAAACTGAGGGTGTTGAGTTTATGTAGAACGAAGATAAAGGAGCTTCCTCCTACTATTGGAGGACTCGAGATGCTTGAAGGCTTATATGCCAACAAATCCAGGGATCTGACAGATAAAAACTTGGAGGAACTTGGGAAGCTATTCCATTTGAAGAAATTGAACTTAGCATTTACTAGTGTTTCTAGATTGCCTCTAGAGATAAGTCGTCTGCATCTCCAAAAACTTGAAGTGGGTTCGATTGGGCTTCAACAAGTGCCAGCTCTTCCATCAAGTTTGAAATTCCTTGCGATTCAAGCTATGGACTTCTCTCTTGTCCCTCACCCCTCAAGCATCACCGATTTAGAACATCTGGAATTATATAGATTCAACAATTTAAGAGATAGATATTTCTCTGGTAGGCAGGACTATGTCTCAAAACTTAAAGCAGCTTTGATGAGGGAGCAACCGTCCTATCAGCTTCCATCTCATTTGTCAGCCTTGAAACTCAGGGGTATTAGTCCACTACCCCATTTTTCCAACTTATCAAATTTGACAGTTCTGCACGTAAGTGAATGTCCAATATCACATCTACCCGTCACTCCAGGTCTAGCACATTTGAGGGAACTGAACATAACAAGATGTGAATCCCTTGAGGAAATACCTGGTCTGTCCCTCTTGAGGAGTCTCGAGCGCTTGAAACTGAAGGGCTTGAATAGTCTAGTTGACATTCAAGGTTTGGCAGAATTGGAATCTTTGCAATACCTCCTTCTTTCTGGTTGTGATTTAATAGGAAAGCTACCCAACTTGTCCAAGTTGGGTAAGCTACAACATCTAGAGCTAGAAGCTTGTCAAAATTTAAGAGCCATTGAGGGCATTGAGGGCTTAGAAAGCTGGGTGGTGGATAGTCGTGGCCGCACTATCTTGGAAAGATTGTTGAATATCTCAAGATCGACTTGGCTTTCTCACAGATTACCTATGTACGATGTGTACCTGAGTTATAAGGGACCAGACACTCATTATAGCATTGTCAATTATCTTCACTATTGGATGTTAGGTGAACGAATTTCTGTTTATAGTGAAGATTATGACTTGAGGTCCAATGAAGGGATTGGGGAAGAGATTCTACAAGCACTCGCTAACTCCAATATCTACATACCCGTCTTTTCAAGAAACTATGCTTCCAGTCATTGGTGTCTCCGCGAACTTGCCCACATGGTAAAATGCACGTTAGAATCAAAGGGGAAAAGAAGAATCCTCCCCATTTTCTATGACGTGGAGATTGATGATGTTAAGCTCGAAACTGATTTATACAAAAATGACCTAGACAAGCATCGGACGAACTTCGACCACAATGAAGTGAAGTCATGGAAAGAGGCCCTAATTGAGGTCGCAACAATGAGGGGTTTTGTCTCGAAAAATAACAGGTAATCCTACTGTTTCGCCACTAAATCATGAGGTAAATAAATCATTTAATTGAACTTTCCTAACACACAGAGTTTTAAAATTACTACAATGCAACCCTTTTGCATACAAATAGTTGTCCACTCAAGTAAATTCAATCCTATAGAATAAGAAGTAGATCCTTCTTGTTTGTAATATCCGGACGAACTCTACGGTTGAACACAACATAATTGCATACTGGTACAACAGCACATAAATTTTTTCTTTTCTTTTGTTTTATAAGTTAACGATCTTCAGGTTACAGTGGTTTGAGAAATCAAATCAACAATTAGATTGTCGTTTTGACATCCATTTTATTTCTATTTGTCCAACTAAAATGATTTGTCCTTCAACTGTGCATTGCTGCAGCTTTGAAGAAATACTTCAATTGGTTATTGCAGAGGTTTTTAGAGCAAGGAAATTGTTAGACGTTGACTCCTGAAGCCTTCTTTTGATCGGTTGTCAAAGAAAAGGGGAATGGATTTGCTATCAATGTAATGAAATTCTCCCCAATTGCATTACATTTCTATTGTTTAGAGGATCTAGATATTTCATTTGGTAAAAAAATTGGTTTACGATGCTACTGCTTAGGTGCATTAATTACAAGGTTAGCATATCTGTACGAACGAGTATATCAATGAACTTACATGCTCTATTAGAAGGTTAGTTAAGCTCATACATCAAGGGTGCTCTACAATAGAAGAAAATGAGCCTTCATACACAGTTGGGAAAATCTGAATCGCTTGTGGAGTTGGATTGGCGACTGTCAAATATAGTTGATCTACCTGATTTAATCAGAATCTAAAAAGAATTGAAACTGACTAGGATGGACTGATCATCCATAAGAATGTTATCCAATGTTGTTGGACTGCTAGAAATGATTGAGGGGTTAGGTGCCAGTATATGAGTCTAACAGGTGAAATCTTTGGTGAATTTGGGAGACTATCTAGCCCGTTCAAGGATTTTGGGCTTACACTCATTGAAGTTATCTATGGATTCCCCACGACTATCTATTCTCTCTCCCATGTCCATAAACTTTTTTTCTGGACGGTCACTATGGAATTTGACAATCACCCCAGGCTTCTTTAATCCGTCTTTGTTTTGATGCATCTACATCCGATTTGTTCATGGCCTCATGACTCTGGTTAATTAGCTTTTCAGAACATATCTGACATTTTCCTTGGCCAATAGCCACCAGCTTCCATGTACTCTGTCATTTTGCCACTTTGGCTTAAGAAATCTTGCTATTTTTTTATCGTGAAGAACTTTTTGGTTCTCGAAGTTCATGAAACTCAAAGGCATTAGTCCACTGCCATACTTTTCAAACTTAAAGAATTTGGCAGATCTGTGTTTCCTTAGATGTCCAATGTCAAGCTTACCTGTCTCCAGAATTAATACATATGAGGGAACTGAAAATAAGTAGATTTTAATTCCTCGAGAAAATACCTGGTCGTCACTCTTGAAGAGTCTACCACACTTGAATATGAATAGCTTGAATAAGCTAGTTGAGATTCAACGTTTGTAGGAATTGGAAATTTCTTTTTCTTTTTTTTTGCTTTTTTAGTTTTTCTTTTTCTGACGTGATGCTCACGTGACGCCACATCATCACCATTGGTCCGGAAAACATTGATAATTCGATGCCAGCCGCCACATAAGACGGCGATCTTTTATTGAAAGGATATATGTGTCACACTAGTACAAGGTAGGGGTTTTTGGTAACAAAAGAAAAAGTTGTATTGGTTTCACATTGGTATTTGAGGTTCTTGGTAGCATTTTCTTTAGAATCTATAAAAGATTTTGGGACTAAAGTATTAGCATTGTTGACCATTGTAAAAATTCCAATTTCTCCATTGTCAAAGATACACAGTTGTTGTTCCTTTTATATAGAGCGTGTGGGTTTTTGCGAAATTTTTGAATGAAAGTTTGGTTAAATGTCTTTAAGTCCAGTGTGTTATAGAGAGATAATAGCATTAAAGGAGCTGTGAGATTGATTTTTTTTATGTATCCATAACATGAGAGAGAAGTTACCAGAAAAAGTGATGAGTATGGAATAAATGAGATATTATTTTCATTATAACCCAGGGAATTTGGAATTGGAACAAAATTGATGATACTCGTAAAGATATGTTAAATGGAATGTTTATAACATCCGATTGATTCATCAAAACTCAACAATTGGAAAACATTTTTCTCGATTTTCTGCCTTTTGTATTATGTAGGAAAATGAGTCCATATAAAATGTTTTCATTATTGGCTAATTCCTGCATTTAAATACTTTTTATGATGATAGAAACATTTTTTTGTTGGCTCATTTTCTTAAGCAATACTAACAATGGAAAATAAGAAAAATACTTTTCTTTTGCTAGTTTACTCAGAAACAAGTGGAATAAGAACGATATAATCGAAGCATGTGACATAACGTCAAAATAGATAACACTCTGTAAGTCAACAATGTTAACTTGAAAAGAATTCAAGAACTATGAAGTAAAGGGAAACACTATGTTAACATAAGTTCAAATCTTACAAGATCTTCAAGGGAAATACTATGACAATGCCCAAAGAGTTGGAGGACTTTTTATCATATGTAGTAAAGATAAAGAAGTTACTACGATTGATGTGGAAACTATAACGAAATTTAAACTGAGAAGAATAAAGAACGCACAGATTTACGTGGAAAATCCTTGCAGAAAAAATCACAGGGAGTGGAGAAGTAAAATCTATTATAGAAATTCAAAGATTACCAAATGTGGCTTAGAAACCTAAGACTCTTTCTATCTTAACTTTTTAACCTAATAATTTGAGAAAAATAATATTTATATTGCTTCCAAACCCTCACGTTGGCCCAAGCCCATAAAGAATTCAAGACATGCTCAATAAATCTCCATATTGGCTTGAATTCGACATAAGCAACAAACAATCTTCTCCTCCCATTAGAGCAAAACTCAGCTATAACAAACATAAATTAAATCCAAGTAATGCTTGAATTTGGCAATATGCAAAGGCTTCGTCAATATATCAACTGGATTATATTCTGTACCAATCTTTAAGACCTTGATATAGCCATCAGCAAGAATGTCTTAAATAAAATGATACCACACATCAATGGGCTTTGTCTTTTTCGTAATATATCTGATCATTAGTAAGATGTATAGTACTCTGACTATCACAATGGACAACAGTCACACCATAATCCACACTGAGCTCTCCAAAAAAGACTCTTAACCATATAGCCTCTTTAACTGCCTCTGTAATAGCCATATCATCTGCCTTTGTAGTAGACAAAGCAACAATATGTTGTAAAGTAGTTTTCCAACTGACTACACAACCTCCAATAGTAAAGATATACCCAGTCAAAGACCTCCTCTTATCAAAGTCACCAGCATAACCAAAATCAACATATCCTGTAAGAATGTCATCAATTTTCCCAAACTCTAAATCAAAATCATAAGTAACCTTCAAATATTTCAAAATTCACTTCACATCTTGCCAATAAACTTTTCGTGGGCATGATAAAATATCTACTTACTACGCTGACAGCATGTGAAATGTCGGTTCGAGTGCAAACCATGACATACATAAACCTACCAACTACACTAAAGTATGGAATATGTGATGTCACGCCCCGGACCCCACCGAGCCCGCGACATCCCGTCCATGGTCGAATTGAACGCGACGTCTCAGGACGCGTCGCCAACCCAAACGAACTACGCAAGCGGAAGCGAAATAAAACAACCCAGACAACTAACATGATGGCGAAAGGATAGCACGAAATAATAATTGCATAACATCATAAAGTAGTCACTATTACAGAACGCTAACCCGGGCTACCAATTTCTAATCACAATTTTCAAAAGGGGGCGGTGGTTGGCAAGCTTATCTTTTCTACAAAAAGGTACTCAAAAGACAGGGTAAATTTGATCTATCCTCCAATCTCTGTAGTACTCTGGCGGCATTTCCGAATCGATCACGGTCGCGGATCTGAAAGTGGTTATATAATAACCGTGAGAAAGAGTCTCAATAAGCAACAACCTATACTCCACCTAGGTTAATGCGTACCCAGACAAGTCTAACATGCAATTCACCAGCCAACAGAATCAAATTCACACGACAAGCTTACCTCGCCTCGAACCACGTGCCAACCCTGCATATTAGTCCCAACATGATAATGCAATAATAGTTCATAATCATATCACAATCACTCGAGCGCCATACACACTTGCATTCAACCAATCCAACCAAACACCCACACGTGCATTCAGCCAATCCAACTAGTCACATTACGCACACGTGTCCAACCAACTTTCTCACGATCCGCCTCAACGCGCCTCAGGTCCTTTCTCACAGCCCGTGTAAACACGCCTTAGGCTAGCCCTCCGATCAATCCGGGCTCTGTCCCTCACTGGACATTTCACACTTTCTCACGACCCGCGTAAACACGCCTCAGGTCAGCCCTCCGATCAATCCGGGCTCGATCCCGCATTACCACGCCTCAGGACATTTCTTTCTTTCCCATGACCCGCGTAAATACGCCTCAAGTCTAACTTTCCTTCCACGGACCACCGTCAACACGTCTCAAGTTCGTTAACTTTCATTCTACGGACCACCGTCAACACGTCTCAAGTCCGTTCTTACAGGTACACATGCCACACAATTTAATCAATTTCAATGGCCGCCGTCAACACGTCCCAAGCCAAACTTTCCTTTCACGGACCACCGTCAACACGTCTCAAGTCCGTTCTCACAGGCATCCAAGCCACACAATTAAATCAATTCCAATGGCCGACGTCAACAGGTCCCAAGCCAAACTTTCCTTTCACGGACCACCGTCAACACGTCTCAAGTCCGTTCTCACAGGCATACAAGCCCCACATTTCAATCAGTTCCAATGACCGCCGCCAACACGTCCCAGGTCAAACTTTCCTTTCACGGACCACCGTCAACACGTCTCAAGTCCGGTCTCACAGGCACACAAGCCCCACAATTCAATCACGAGCTCATCCCACTAGCCTACCAATCCGACACTCAAGTCAGCCCAATCACAAATTAATTTCACTCACAAATGCCACGACAATTCGATCATCGCACCCACATTAATTAGCCACTAAACATGCCACAAATCACCATAATCCAATCCACCAATTAATCACATTTATAAATTGGCCCGAACCTTAATTTACACAACTAATCCGGTATTAATCACACCCTAAACAAGTCTAAAATTTCCCATTATACTAAGTAGGGTTTAGGGAGTCACTTACTAGGTTTTGGCCCGGAGAAAATCGGCTCGGGCCTAAAATGGCTTGGGTGAACAGTGCTGGACTAGGCGCGGGCGTGGGCTAAATAGGCGTGCTGACCGGCCAGCACGGGCACGGTGGCCGGACGGCGTGCCTGGCGCGCGGGCGCGGTGGCCGAACGGCGTGCCCAGGGGCGCACGGGCAGCTGGACGGGCGATGCAACTGGGCGACGGGTTGGCTGAATGCGCGACGTGCCTAGGCGACGGGCACAGCGATGGGCCATAGCCGGGGCGACGGGCATGCGGCCCGGTCGCATGGGCAACGGGCCGGCCACGACCTGGGCAAGCCCGGCACGGTTGGGCTGGCTGGCCGGGGCGGCGACGGCGACGCGGCGGTGGCGAGCTGAAGGGGGGAAAGTCGGCCGGGGTGGTGAGGCGAGAGGGAGGTTGCGGGCTGAGGAGGGAAACGACAGGGGCGACAGGGCCGGGCGACGAGCTGGGAGGACGACGCGGGACAGACGATCTCGGTCCCCGCGAGCTACCGAGCGAGCAGCGGGAGCCGAGCTCCTTGAGTGATGAGCGACCAGGGTGAGACTCACTTCTGCCGAGCCGCTCTGGCTGCTAAACGACGGCGACGGCGGGGCTCGCGGCGGTGCAAGGCGGACGGTGAGGCAGTCGGCAGTCGGCAGTCGGCGGTCGAGCGAGCTGGGTAGAGGCGGTCGAGCGAGCTGGGTAGAGGCGGTCGAGCGAGCTGGGTAGAGGCGAGCTCGGCCCGGCGAGCTGCGGGGCTGCGAGCTGGGCTCGAGGCGGCAACGGGCGGGCGGCGTGACGGACGGTGCGGCGGCTGGCGGGGCGGCGGAACAGACGGCGCAGCGGCTGGCAAGCTGCGGGCGACGGTTTGGCGGAGTGGGAAGCAGAAGCAGCGGCGAAGAGGACCAACGAAGAAGAAGAAGAGAAGAAAGAAAAAAAAAGGAAAAAGGAGGAGAGAGAAGGGGCAGGTCTGCATGGCTTGATGGGGGAGGGGACGTGCGCGGAGGAGACGTGCGCGGCAGAGGAGAGAGAGAGAGAAATTCAAAGGTACTCGAGCGCGATCCAACGGTCCGATTTCAAACCCAAAAACGATCTAACGGCTCTCAAAATTCCTAATTAATAATTTAGGAAAAAGGGCCAAAATAAAATAACCCAAAACACACTACGAGGGAGGTCTACTAGTCCAAATTCTCACCCGGTCAAAATTCCACTTTTCACATATCCCGGGTAATCTCGAGGCTGGCCACAATAATATCGACACCATCCAATTAAATTCGACCCGGAACTCCGAGAAATTCGACACCAAAATTTGGGCTCTAAATAACGACCAAATTCGATCGAGTGCGATTCTAGCGAAATCTCTAATTTAAAAAAAAATAAAAATCGAGAGTGATCAGTTCCCGGGCGAGATTTTACTGTAAGCACACTGACGAATTACACGTTTTATAAATCCCAAAAATGGGTCGAAATTCGGAATGTCACAACTCTTCCCCTCTTACAAAAATTTCGTCCTCGAAATTTACAATCCAACCCAGCTATTCAAATAAATGGGGGTATTGGTGTCGCATCGACTCTTTGCTTTCCCACGTCGCACCTTCGGTTCCATGATGCTCCCAAATTACCTTGATCATCGGAATTTTCTTGTTCCACAACACTCTCTCCATTGTGTCCTCAATTCTTACTGGCTTTTCCACGTACGACACTCTGTTGTCCACGTCTATCTCATCGTAGTTCAGCATGTGGGTCGAGTCCGGTTCATACTTCCTTAGCGTAGACACGTGGAACACGTTGTGCACCTGAGACAAATTTGGCGGTAGCGCGAGACGATAAGCCAAGGTACCAATTCTTTCTAAGACCTCGAATAGACCCACGTATCTCGGGCTCAACTTCCCTTTCTTACCAAACCGTGACAATCCTCTCATCGGCGACACCTTGAGGAAAACGTGGTCCCCTACTTGAAATTCCAATGGCCTACGTCTCCGGTCCGCATAATTCTTTTGGCGGCTCTGAGCGGTTTTAAGCCTGTCCCTAATCACCTTAACTGTTTCGACTGATTGGTGAACCAACTCGGGTCCCGTGATGCTCCTCTCACCAACTTCATCCCAACAAACCGGTGTTCTGCAAGCTCTGCCATATAGTGCCTCGAATGGTGCCATTCTAATACTCTGCTGGTAGCTATTGTTGTAGGCGAATTCAACCAAATGCAACTGTTCCTCCCAATCGCCCTTAAAATCCAAAACACATGCTCGCAGCATGTCTTCCAATGTCTGAATCGTCCTTTCAGACTGGCCGTCTGTTTGGGGATGATAGGCCGTGCTAAACTGTAACTTCGTTCCTAATGCCGTA